CCAGTCGTTTCGGGGACCAACGTGAAGTCACGCTGCCATACTCCTAAGTATGATTCGTATGTAAGTTGGGGACTGCCTGTACTACCTTATCCTTGTGTAAAATCAAAAAGGGTTCTTTGGAAGAAAAGGTTGCCAGTAAAGCTACATCTTGCAGAGGTGAAGGCAACAAGGAATACAACTTTATGAGTGAAAGTGTAAAAGGGAATATTCCTACTAGGTTCAAAGGGAGGTCTTTGAAAAGCCAACAGAACCAAACTGAGATCCTAAAGTAGAGGCTACGTGAGAAACACCCCATACAAATGTTTTATGAAAGAAAGAGGGGTTAGCAGTCTTTAACATATGTTTGCAAGATCAGAGATTTTGCCCTTGATGATACTTGGGGTAAAATGTTGATCCAGGCATGATCAGGAAAAAAGGTAAGGATTTGTCCCACAGAGTATTTACTGAAACTTTCCTTGTTTATATCAGGCGAACTAAGCCTGCCACGTGCAATGGTAGACCTAACAAGAGTTAGATTAACTTTTAAGTTAGTTAGCATTTCAAAGCATTAAAATCACTGGCCCCTGACTCTCAAGACCTGCGTTTTAACAGCTAAGCCACCAAACCCAGTGACCATGAAGCAGGGTGGTAGAAAAGACCTTGAAGATCTGATCGATCTGTAAGAGCCCACAGTGTCTACCAGAAGACCGATCAAGCTGGACTACCACATATGTCTTGGTCAATTCTAAGTTATGAGGATTACTGGAATGCTCTCTATTTTGATCCTGTAGAGTAGAGGAGCAGGAGTTTCAGAGGAAGAAAGGCATAGATCAGACTGTACTGATACCATGGAGTCACCTGAGCATCTACTGCATCTGCCAAAGGATCTCTGCATCTAGAGAAAAACCTGCTCCATTTAGTCCACAGAATCTCTTTCTTCCATTCAAACCTCGCCACCATGGGCAAATGACCAAAGAGCTGACTAAAGACTTCAGGGAAAAGACTCTAGACCTGCACAAGGCTGGAATGGGCTACAAGAAGAAGCTTGGTGAGAAGGAGACAACAGTTGGAGAGATTATTCGCAAATGGAAGAAATACAAAATAATTATCATTTGTCTGGCGCTCCATGCAAGATTTCGCCTCATGGGGTAAGGATGATCATGAGAAGAGTGAGGGATCAGCCCAGAACTACACAGGAGGAGTTTGTGAATGATCTCAAGGCAGTTGAACAAAACAAACCATTGGTAACACAATACGCCACCATGGATTGAAATGTTGCAGCACCTGCAAGGTCCCCCTCCTCAAGAAGGCATATGTACAGGCCTGTTTAAAGTTTGCCAATGAACATCTACAAGGTTCAGAGAGGGATTGGGAGAAAGTGCTGTGGTCAGATGAGACCAAAATTGAGCTTTTTGGCAATAACGACTCACTTTGTTTGGAGGAAGAAAAATGCTGACTATGACCCTGGGAACACCATCCCTACAATAAAGCACGGAGGTGGAAACATTATGCTTTGGGACTTTTTCTCTGCTAAAGGTACAGGCCAACTTTGCCGCATTGAGGGGCCAATGGACAGGGCCATGTATTGTAAAATCTTGCATGAGAAGATTCTTCCCTCTACCAGAACACTGAAGATGGGTCGTGAATGGGTCTTTCAGCATTACAATGACCCAAAACATACCGCTAAGGCAACAAAGGAGTGGCTCAAGGAGAAGCACATTAAGGTCCTGGTGTGCTCTAGCCAGTCTCCAGACTTTACTCTTACAGAAAATTTTATGGAGGGAGCTGAAACTTCGAGTTGCCAGGGGACAGCCAAGAAACCTTAAGGATTTAGAGAAGATCTGTAAAGAAGGGTGGACCAAAATCCCTCCTGAGATGTGTGCAAAGTACTAAGTCATATTTTGCTTGGGGATCAAATACTTATTTTACTCACTGAACTGCAACTCAATGTATAACATTTGTATCATAGGGTTTTTCTGGATTTTTGGTTGATATTCTATTTAAAATATACCTATGATAAAAATTTAGACCCTTCATTTCTTTGTAAGTGGGCAAACTTACAAGTTCTGCAGGGGATCAAATAATCATTTTCCCCACTGTATGTCCCCAGCAGTCATATTTGCAAGTTAGCCCAGAAAATCTTGCATAGGTCTTTGTGGATAAAGTAGAAGAGGATCCACACCTGACGGAGCTATGGGAAAGTCTGATAACAATGATCCAGGATATTGACATCAGGTTGTTTAGGAGGGACACTGTAAACCACTCCAAAAGTGCAAGTGGATTGGGTGGAGAGACCAGATACAGCAGGACTGCTCCCCTTTCACTTCAATGACAAGGACTGGTAAGGAATATCCAATAAATAAGGCAAAGGAGACTGCCAGAGAAAGTAAAGAAGTAGGTCTATAATAAGAGGTATGGGCTCCCCTGGGGAACAGACTCAAAGGAGTGCCTAGCCTTCACCCATACCCTCTGCATAAAGGGTTAACTTTCAGGTTACCTCCTCCTAATTAACCCCCTTGAAGACTACTGTAGAGAAAGAGTTCATGAGCTACAAGTAAACTGTGAATAGCTCAAGTTCAAATTCAGTACATGACTAAAATTGAAGCTGAACTCAGCTAACATTTTTATATGCAGTTATAGCAACACTTTTTCTTTTCCTTTTGGGAGAAAGGTTTTACATAAATAAATAAAAGTTGATTATTGGCAGCAACTTTGTCAGTGGTAAATGCTTACTCTCAACCCTTTAACTGCTACTTTGTGTGGACAACTTGGTCTGTTTAAAGGAAGTTGAAAAATAACAGACTCACTGAGCAGATCACCAAGTGAAAATAAAGGAAAAAATCCTAAAAGAAGAAACCTAACGCAGCCACTACATCTAAGAACTGGAAAGCTGCAACGTAATAAAATGTTGGTTTGGGAATTTAAAAGCACTTTAAGCTTCAGCAGAAGCCAATGAGTAGTGTGATCTAATTTGGGCAGTAATTAGAAGCAAAGCAAATGCATTTTGGTGTGCTGCAGTGCCAGCCCGTTGGCACCTACTGTAGTTGTGCATTTGGGACCAATTCCAAATGAATGGCACAGCAATACACTGCACCTCCTTGAGCTAATGTTGCAGTAAAACATGCATTACCACAACACATTGATCTGAAAAGGGCTTAAAGGCTAATTTATAGTAAATAACTTACTCTAATGTTGTGTGTATTGCCAGTCGAAGGGAGAGAAGGTGCACAGCTCTGTGCTGAGAGGAAGAGAGAAAACAAGATGACAACCACCTCCAATTATTACGGAACCTCTCCAGTGCAGAAGCCATTTTCTAGACGTCCCACAGCCAAATTTGTTCTATATTGGAAATACAACACTACTCTTTCTTATTCTTGAATATTATTCTTTATTAATTTCTTCATGAAGGAAAACAAATCTTAAACCTCCTCACCAAACCCCACAACATTAGTGGTCAGCAGTGTTTTTTTTAACATCCCCCCACATTAGTGATCAGTTGCAATGTTTTTTAACCCCCTTAACAAACCCCTTAGATTGGTGATCAGTGGCAGTAATTTTTAACCCTCCCCATAATAGGAGGTCAGTGGCAGTGTCTTTTTCAATGTCCACCAAGCTCCCAACCCCCTGTCCCCATTCCTTGGACATTAGTAATCAGTCAGTGTTCTATTATAACCCATGCAGTGCAGCAGCAACATCTAAACATACCTGATCACATGCTCCTGTGCTGCACTACGGCACTCCTCTCCCCCTCTCTGGCCAAAACTTTACTCATACTGTCGGGCAGGGATCACTCTGCCTCACAGTACTCTCTGCAAAGTCAGCAGGTGGTAGGATACAACAATTTATACAATGGATAATGAAACTAGTAACCGACAAAGACTGGTGTGATCAAAAATGAAGTATTAGGCAAAAGTATATACAATATACATACAGAACATTTTGCCTAGGTATGCAGGTAGTAATTCTAAGGTCACACTGTAACCATTGTGGTAAAAATGGTGCACTGTTATAGCCAAACAGCTGCAATTTAATTTCAGTTGGGTACATTCCAATGTTGTAAATAGTATTTGCTATATACTTTATATCCACTATACTCTTTTTGGAAATGCTCCCTAGATAGATGCAACTATATGTTATATGTAAAACTGCAATATCTCCACTGGGAATAATAAATTCTTCAACAGCCTCAATTATAATAAATATTATTATAGAGCCAGTTCTTTTAATATCCTATGTCACAATATCAATTTTGTCAAAATGTTTATCTGGTGCTTACTCTTGAAAAGGCAATGTTCTAATTATACTGTATAAGGTGACTAATTTGTAAACTGTAAAGGTATGTCCACTTTTGTTGAAAAAAATACAGCAAATAAAAAGAGTAATATAACATATACCATTGTTACACAAGCCATGTTGTAATTTATTGCCATTAATAATTACCTCTCTTCATCAGTCTTAGGCCACGGTGATTTTCTATAAAAATTCAATGCACTATGGCAACCTGGAGGCATTCTGTACACAACTGATTTCCAGAATGCCCCCAGAAATGTAATTTCCTGCTTGTGTATTTGGCTCACAGATTTTCTCAGATGTCTGAGCTAGGATACAAGTTAAATTTTTACGCTGGGAAGGGATAGACAGTCTTGTAATAGACTGTGGAAGAGTTAGGACCCCTTTCATGTTTTTAATGCTGTTTATACCCCAGCTGGGGAGATTCATCCTCCCTATTGGCCGTGGTGAACATTGCTGTAGAGATGGAAAAAAAGCTATTTCTGAGTTGTCACCAGAACAGGAGGTAAAATGGATATCCAATCACTTTAGAGAGATCTTCTCTTACTTCCTGCTGTATCCCTGGACGTGAAGGAAAATCTCCCTGACAGTATGCAGACAGCAAAAAAAAAAAAAATGACAGGGGTCATAAAATATAAAGTATGTAAATCCTAAAAGTGAACTTTATAATTTGCTCCCTTTTGGTGTGTTAAAGATACCACTGAAAGCATTTTGTTATATTTGATCATAACCTTGCTCTGTAGAGGCCTCTGTGCTCACGGCTGGCTCCTCCTCTGAAGGTGACAAGGAGGCCTCCTCTTCAGCAACAGCTTGCTCTTTCTCCAGAGACGTAGTTGGGGCAGCTTCTTGTTCAGTGACCTCTTCTGCTACAGCTTCCTTTATGGCTGCTTCGACAGCCTCCACAGTTTTTTCAGAGACTTCCCTGGTTTCCGCCGTCACACCTTTTAAAGGATTTGAGTAAAGATGATATAGCTCCACTACAGAATACATATATATCCAAGGAACACACACACACCTTTGCAAAATGAAGAGTTTGAGCATATCTATAGCTTCTGACTATTTGGCTCCTGTAGGACTTTCTTTTGTCAGGGAATAGGTGGAGGAATTCCCCCCAAACCCCCCTATACCCCACAGAGAATAGCGATGTGGCACGTTCTGAATGCTGTATCAAATGGTGGGTGTGGCCAAATTGAAACAGAGTGAGGGTCTTAACTAGGCATTATTAAATAAAACAAAGAGTGTGTGACAAAGAGAGACAGGGTTCATGAGTGTGTAACTCACAGAGCAGCTGAGTTCAGGAGTGCATAACACACAGAGTGGCTGGGGTCAGGAGTGCATAACACAGAGTGACAGGGTTCAGTAGTTCGCAATACACAAAGTGGCAGGGTTCAGGAGTTCGTAATACGTAGAATGGCTGGATTCAGGAGTGGGCAACACACAGAATGGCTGGGTTCAGGAGTGTGTAACACACACAGTGGCTGGGGTCAGGAGTGTGTAACACAGAGTGGCAGGGTTCAGGAGTTCGCAATACACAAAGAGGCAGGGTTCGTTCAGGATGGTGAAGACACACACAGAATGGTAGGGTTCAGGAGGTGTAACACACACAGTGCATAAGACACAAAGTTCGCAATACACAAAGAGGCTGGGTTCAGGAGTGCGTAACACACATCTGGCAGGGTTCAGGAGTGCGTCAGGAGTGCGTAACACACAGCTGGCAGGGGTCAGGACAGGGTGACAGGGTTCAAAAGTGTGTAACACAAAGAGTGACAGGGTTTAGGAGTATGTAACACACAGAGTGTCTGGAGTCAGGAGTGTGTAACACATATGGTGGCTGGGTTCAGATGTGCGTAAATCAGAGGGGCAGGGTTAACAAGTGTGTAACACAAGGAGTGGTGGGGTTCAGGAGTGCTAACATACAGATGGCAGGGTACAGGAGTGCATTAAACACAGGGTGGCAGGGTTCAGGAGTGCCTAACACACACACGGTGGCAGGGATCAGGAGTGGGTCACACACATGGTGGCAGGGTTCAGGAGTGTGTAAAACACAGAGTAGCAGTGTTCAAGAGTGTGTTACACTAGTTCAAATTTCTAGGGCTCATTTACACTGGTGACAGTCCTTGCCACTCCTCTGAAAAGCAATCCACGGTGGATCACTTTCAGAGTGTGGTTGACAAGCGGCTGGGAGGCGACCAATGTCCTGAGAGTGGAAAAAAACATTTTTTTTTTTCTTAAAGTGTTACCAGAACAGGAGGTGAAGAGAAATGTATTCTTCTTAGAAATGTCTAGGAGTAAATACCCCCTCAGTTTGGAGAGATCTTCTCTTACTTCCTGCAGTATCCTTGGAAGTGCAGAGAAATCTCCCTGACAGTAAAATCATAAAAATATACTGTACGTAAACTGTAAAATTGAGCCCCTGTAAGCTGCTCCCTTTTGATTTGTTAAATATACCATTGAAATCATTATGTTATATCTGATCACAACCTTGCTGTGTAGAGGCCTCTGTGCTCACTGTTGGCTCCTCCTCTGAAGGTGACAAGGAGGTCTTCTCTTCAGCAATAGGTTGTTCTTGCTCCAGAGACGTAGTGGGGGCAGCTTCCTCTTCAGTGACCGCTTCTGCTATGGCTTTCTCTATGAATGCTTCAACAGCCTCCACAGTTGTTTCAGAGACTTCCCCAGTTTCCACCACCATACCTTTTAAAGGATATGAGTAAAGATGATGTGGCTCCACCACAGGATAAATATATATTCAAGGAGAGCACACATACACCTATGCAACATGAAGAGCATGAGCATATCTATAGCTTCTGACTATTTGACTGCACTTATTTTAATAGAAACACTTTGGCTAAATACAGGACTTTTTTTTTTTTTTTTATCAGAGAATAGGTGCAGGACCCCCTCCCCCAACCGTCCCTTGCCGCCTGTATGGGGGAATTGTGATTTGGCACATTCTGTGGGTGATGTAGGTGGGAGTGGCCCATTTGGTACAATGGGAGGTTCTTTAACCTCCCTAGCAGTATGATTATGTCAGTATTACTGAGCTCAAAGCGGTACTTTTTTTGCATGGAAATGTCGTTTTTTTTTATTGTAGGCCTGTAATGCTTAAAAATAACTCACTGAAATCTGTCCGAACAAGAGTCTAGTAAAAACATCCCGGGTATGTAAAAATTTGAAACCCAAAAAGCATAAATTATAATTTAATAATCATAAAAAAAAATAATAATAATAAATTTAATTCAATAATGTAATCAAACCAAAAACACTGAAATTTGAAATATAGCGCCAAGTTCGCACATCACTGTTCTTAGTCGCAAAATCGTTTTTAGTGTCTGATGACGAATTTCCCCACAAATCATTATCACTCAATACTGCAAGTGGTTCTAATTTACTAGCGCTGTTCTCTAGCTGGTCTAAAACCACTTTTGACCTAAAGGGACGCTTTTTGGACACCATGGACGTTTCTCAGTTTCCAGGCAGAAACAGTAAAAATGCAGGCAGGGCACAGGACAAAGCACTAGGGATAAAATGTATGTGAAATGGTTTGATACAGTAATGTTTTACTATGTGATTTTAGTGTATTTAGTGAAAGTCACTTTTTAAAATGTTTAAATTTCCTGTCTGTTATGTCCCCCGTACGTCCTGACGTCGCAAGGAACGGAACCCAGAAGATGGATGTCGGCATTGGCCGGAGGAGATGGCCGGGGACGCTGCAAGGGGGGACATCGCGGGAGGGAAGGACAAGGTAAGTGATCGAGGGATCCCGGAGCAGCACTGCAGGGTATTCCCGAGTGTAGCAGAGGTGCATAACACACAGGGTAGCTGTGTTTAAGATTGCGAAACACGCAGAGTAGCAGGGTTCAGGAGTGTGTAACGTATATGGTGGCATGGTGCAGGAGTGTGTAACGTATAGGGTGGAATGGCGCAGGAGTGTGTAATGGATAGAGTGACATGGTTCAGGAGTGTGTAACATACAGTGGGGAAAATAATTATTTGATCCCCTGCAGATTTTGTAAAATTTGTCCACTTACAAAGAAAAGAAGGGTGTATAACTTTTATCACGGGTGTATTTTAAATGACAGAGACAAAATATCAACCAAAACTCCAGAAAAAAAACAATACAAATGTTATAAATTGAGTTGCAGTTCAGTTTGTAAAATAAGTATTTGATCCCCTACCAACCAACAATAATTCTGGCTCCCACAGACTGGCTCTGTGCTCATGTGGTACACAGATTAGTCCTGTCAATTTAAGAAGGTGCTCCTAATGACAACTCGTTATGTGTAATAAAGAGACCTGTCCACAGAATCTCTTTCTTCCATTCACCATCATGGGCAAGACCAAAGAGCTGTCATAGGACACCATGGACAAGATTGTAGACCTGCACAAGGCTGGAATGGGCAACAAGACCATCAGCAAGAAGCTTGGTGAGAAGGAGACAACTGTTGGATGATAATTCACAAATGGAAGAAATACAATATAACCATCAATCGCCCTCGGTCTGGAACTCAATGCACGATTTTGCCTCATGGGGTGAAAATCTAAATGATTCAAAGAAAGATAGGGAAAAAGTGCTGTAGTCAGATGAGACTAAAATTGAGCTCTTTGGCATTAACCCAACTCGCTGTATTTGGAGGAAGAACAATTCTGCCTATGACCCTAAGAACACCATCCCTACAGTCAAGCACAGAGGTGTCAATATTATGCTTTCGGCTGTTTCTCTGCTAAAGTACAGGCTGACTTTGCCACATTGAGGGGCCAATGAAAAGGGCCATGTATTGAAAGATCTTGCAGGAGAGCCTTCTTCCCTCAGCCAGAACACTGAAGATGGGTCATAGATGGGTCTTCCAGCATGACAATGACCCAAAGCATACCGCCAAGCCAACAAAGCAGTGGCTCAGGAAAAAGCACATTAAGGTCACGGAGTGGCCTAGCCAGTCTGCAGCCCTTAATCCTATAGAAAATTTATGGAGGGAGCAGAAACTTCAAGTTGCCAAGCAACAGCCAAGAAACCTTAAGGATTTAGAGATCTGTAAAGAAGAGTGGACCAAAATCTCTCCTGAGATGTGTGCAAACCTGGTAACCAACTACAAGAAACATCTTAACTCTGTGCTTGCCAACAAGGGTTTCTCCACCAAAAGTACCAAGTCATGTTTTGCTTGGGGTCAAAGATGTATTTTACTCACTGAACTGCAACTCAATTTAGAACATTTGTGTCACATATATTTTCTAGATTTTTGGTTGATATCCTGTCTCTATGATTGAAAGTACACATATGATAAAAAAAATTATAGACCCTTCATTTTTTTGTAAGTGGGCAAACTTACAAAATCTGCAGGGGATCAAATAATTATTTTCCCCACTGCATAGGTGTGGAATGGCTCAGAAGTGTGTAATGTATAGAGTGGCAGGGTTCAGGAGTGCACAACACACAGGGTGCAGGGTTCAGGAGCGCACAACACACAGGGTGCAGGGTTCAGGAGCATGTAACCCACCAGATGTAGGCTTTAGGAGTGCATTACGCTAGTTGAAACTTTTATGGCTCATTTAGCAGTCCTTGCCTCCTATCTGAAAAGGGGTTCATAGTGAAACTCTTTTCAGAGGGTGGTTAACAGGCGGCTGGGAGGTGACCAATGTTGTAGACATGGAAATATATTTTTTGAGTTGGCACCAGAAGAGGGGGGTGAAGAGAAACCTATTCTACTGAAAAAAAAAAAATATATGTACACACTCAAAAAAGTGAGCGTCTCTACTTTACTCTTTTGTTTTGTGAAATATACCACTGAAATCATTTTGTTATATCTGATCATAACCTTGCTCTGTAGAGGCCTCTGTGCTCACTGTTGGCTCCTTCTCTGAAGGTGACAAGGAGGTCTCCTGTTCAGCAACAGGTTGATCTTGCTCCAGAGGCGTAGTGGGGGCAGCTTCCTCTTCAGTGACAC